ATCCAAGAGTGACTTCGATGTCTAGGTGGGATCGCTCATCATCATCTTCTTTGACCTATAAAAAGAAAAAAAAACAAGATAAGATTTTTTCAATTTACCCATCCCACCACCGCCAAAAACTAAAATTTACTAACTTTAGCTTGGATCCAAGAGTGAAGTCCATGTGCGGGTGGGGTCCCTCATCATCTTTTTTGTATTGTAAAAAGAAATAAAAAACCAAGATTAGATTTTTTCAATTTACCCATGTCACCATTCCAAAAAAATAAAATTTACTAACCTTAGCTTGGATCCAAGAGTGAAGTCCATTTCCGGGTGGGGTCGCTCATCATCTTCTTTGTCCTGTAAAAAGAAATGAAAAACAAGATTACATTTTTTTTTTTATTTTCCCATTCCACCACCACCCCCAAAAAAAATTTACTAACCTTAGCTACAATCCAAGTGTGAAGTCCATGTGCGGGTGGGGTTGCTCATCATCTTCTTTGTCCTGTAAAAAAAAATGAAAAACAAGATTAGATTTTTTCAATTTACCCCCCCCCCCCCAAAAAAAAAAAAATTACTTACCTTAGCTTGGATCCAAGAGTGAAGTCCAATACAGATGTTGTCGCTCATCATCTTCTTTCTCCTGTAAAAAGAAATGAAAAACAAGATATGTTTTTTTCTATTTACCCATCCCACCACCCCTCAAAAATAAAATTTACTAACCTTAGCTTGGATCCAAGTGTGCAGTCCATGTCCAGGTGGGGTTGCTCATCATCTTCTTTGTCCTCTAAAAAGAAATGAAAAACAAGATTAGATTTTTTTCAATTTACCCATCCCACCACCACCAAAAAATATATTTACAAACCTTTAATTCTTGATCCGATAACTAGTCCATGTCTGTATGGAGTCGATCAGGAGATTTTTTTTCAATTTACAACCCCCCCCCTTCCAAAAAAACTATATAATTTCCAGAATGATTAACCAATAAGACAGGTTTTTCAACTGAAGCTATGTTTACATTTTATACTACCTTTCTTTGTTTGAGTTCTTAAAGTTGGAGAAGTAAAAGTGACATGGTTTTCCTTTAATGGTCACTGTGATGGCAGTGCCCAAAATAGGGATGTGTTCAGTTTTGATGCAATATTACAAAATGCTTAACAGCATAATGACCATTAAGTTTTAATAATAAAATAAAAGTATAATGGATATTCAACAAATGTGACATGGAAAGGTTTTCAAGGTCATGGAAGTTCAGAGTCACACCTTCAAAATACCAAAATGTAAACAAGAGATAACTGTACTGAAATGATTTTCTTTCCATTTTCAACACCTTTTTTGCATAAAACAAAATGAGCAATTTACTGTCACTTTTAAATGATCAACTAAGAAAATTGTTGACATAGGTAAAATATCAATAGAACAATTTCTCCATTCTCAGATTCTGAACATAGTGAATGATTGAATCTGACAAACTGTAAAGATATGAGTTTTTTCCATTTTTGAAACTTTATTACGCAATACACAATAACAGGTTTACCATCATTTTTATAGAATCAACTAACAATATTGTTAAAATGCAGAAAATGTCAAAAGAACACGTTGACATATCTAATTAGTTAAAAAATGAGGCTGTTAACATGCCTAAGAATTAAATCTGAGAAAAAAACACTTATTTACAAAAATAAGGCATAACTTCATCAAAACTTGCGTAATTATGAATATTTATCAGTTCTGTAAGTTTCAAGCCAAAAGGTAAAAAAGGTTTTCCACTTATCGTGTTATCAGTGAAAGTGCACGGCAACGACGGAGACGACAGACGCAGGTGAAGGCTATGTGTACAAACACGTGTCTGTACATAAAATCAATACACAAAAGGGAAACACACTCAATCACACTTGAGAGAAAATGCACATCAGCTTTAGAAGAGAAACACGACAACCAAACAATCGTGACCTAAATAGGGCATGTGAAGGTTTTGGTTCTAGCCTCAAAGGGTATTCAACTTTCAAGAACGACCTAGAAACATGGACGTAGGAAGGATATGACAGAATATAAATGAAAAGAGAGTAAGACACGGTGACACTAACCCATCTCCAGTAGCTTGGATTTCAGTCCATTTACGATTACTTTTTCTGCGGCGATTATTCGAGGTCCGGGCTAAGAGCTGAGTGCTATTTGTACATGTACATTTCCCAGAGCGAAGAGTTCGCATGGATTGAAGGGTCGAATCCACAGAAGTACACCATAGGGAAAAGACGAAACATTCGATGTTTTGTGCTAGTAAATAAACTATCCTCAGGTGCGATGCATTGACATAGGATCACATGTGATTTGAAGGCCGTTGCCCGATGAAAACCGCTCTCACTTCGCGTCCTTTGTACTCCTCTGGAGTGAAACGCAACATGTCCATCCCGCTTCACAATTGCCCGCCATTAGACTTCCAACCTTAGATTGTCGGCTGGGGGCGTTGCTGTCGCCAGCATCCTGTCAGTTTGAACGCGGGGGTGTCGTATGAGAATGAGACCCAAATTTCATTATTGCATTGTATATACACCAACGTTTGAAATGCATTCAGCGTTTTCCTACCTAAACTTTTTTGTTTAAACAGAAAACAACGCGCATTTACCTCGGAGGGAAGAATCAATGTACGGCTATAAAAGTTTTTGGAGGGAAACCACGCATGCTATTTTTACACCGGCAGAGAGTTCTTAGGCATGTTAACAGTCTCATTATGGAACTAATTAGATATGAAAAGGTGTTGTTTTGAAATTCGGTGCTTCTTAACAATATTGTTAGTTAATTATATAAAAATGACAGTAAACCTGTTATCGTGCATTGTGTAATATTAAATAAAGTATCAAAAATGGAAATTAACTCATCATTGCAGTTCGTCAGATTCATTCATTCACTAAGTTAAGAATCTCAAATGGAGCAAGTTGGACATTTAAAATTGTTCCATTGATATTTTTTCTATTGACAACATTTTTTTAATTGATCATATAAAAATGACAGAAAATTGATTTTGTTTTATCTAAAAAAAGGTGTTGAAAATGGAAATAAACTCTTCAATACAGTTATTTCTTGTTTACACTTGGGGATTTTCAAAGTGTGACTCAGAACTCTATGGGCTAGTCACCTTTTTTGAATATCCATGATACTTTTATTCTATTACTAAAAAAATTATGGTTATTATGCTGTTAAGCATTGTGTTATATTGCATCAAAATTGAACAAACCTTATTTTGGGCACTGCCTCCATAGTGACCGTGAAAGGAAAACCATGTCACTTGCTCTTCTCACACTTACAGGAAAGAAACATAGGACTGAAATACAGCTTCAGTTGGAAAATCTGTCTCATTAGTTAATTTTCTGGAAGTTATAGAGGTATTTTTGTAAAAATTTTTATCTTTCACATATTGGAATTTTCATTGTAGGACTTAGAGCTCCCTTGGGCATGAAGCCCAGTGGTAATCAAATTTTCTTAATGTCCATGTTTTTAATAGTAGGTATTTAAAAATTGGTGGTATTTATATTATGTAATGTTGCATCAAAATTGACAAAAAATCTACTTTGTGCTCTGTCACCATTAACGTTATGGAAATAAAACTGTGTTATTTAACTAGTCTTACAAAAATGATCCTCAGGATTTACATACAGCACATATTAGATAACCAGCTCTATTGGATTATCATTGTTATTAAATTTATGCATTTTTTGTGACATTTTCATATTTCTCTTTCCGGCACTTTCTAAGTGTAAACTTGAACTCTGATGGGCCTGAAGCCTTATGCTTTTACTTTCATCGGTGTTACCTGTTGTGCATAATTAAAATTTGATGTTGACTATGCAGTTAAACATAATGTATTATTGCATCAGAATTGGCAGGCTCTTATTTTGTGTATTATTATTTTCTGCTTTTCTTAAGGTGTGACTTATGGGCCTGAAGATCTTTGATAGACAAATTTATATATCAAACTCAAAGATTAAAAGTTTGAATAGCAACTTCATTGGAATTATATTTCTGATATGTTTTCTTTTTAATTTTTTCTCAAACACTGGCATTTTTAAGATGTGACTTTTAACTCCCATCCACCTGAGGCTCTATATTTCCACATAAGCAGTTGTATTGGTATTTATGTTTTTAAACACTATGTAATATTATTTTATGCACTGTCATCATTTTTTATATATTGGGACTTTCATCATGTGAATTTGAACTCTCATGGTCCTGAAACTGTAATCTTATTGAAGGGGTGGATTGAGACCATCTTTTGGGTCTCCTGGAAGATGGTCAGATTTGAAAGTTTATATTGATGGGTATCTATTCTTTTCTTTCTGTTGGAAGACCATCAAAATGAAGGATGGATCAACATAGATACTTTGGAATTCTGTCAGAAAATATCTCTGGATCCGCCCCTGTTATTGACCATGTTACCTGTTGTGCATGATTAAAATTCAGTGTTGACTGACTGTGCTATTATAAGCATTATTTATTATTGCATCAAAATTGACAAAATTACCTATTTTGCATCTTTATTTTCAGTTTTTTGTCTGTACATTTGACAGCTTTGCTGCCTTGTTTATCTAATAGCACTCAGATTTATCTATTCCATTGAGTCACTTAGGACAATAAGATTATCTATACGTCGATTTGTGGGTAAAAACAATAATCAACATTCACCTTTTCCCTAGTGTTGAGTTTTGCAGAAATGGCACACGCAGGTAGGAAGACGCAGTTTTTCTGAAATAAACCAGGTCTCTAGTGCATTTCAACAACAAGTGCTCTTCAGTGACATCTATTGTAATTTGCATAACATTAAGTTGCTCACTGCACAGTGAGCTGTCTCCCAGCATGCTCACTTGGCAGTTGGACCCAGAGGGGTGAAGACGTGCAAAAAAGGTGCAGTGCAGTCACAAAGTGGACCTTGTACAAGGCGGAGGAAAACGCGTGTTTTGTAAGCATCACTATTTTTTCCATAACCTTGTCAATAAATTCTAAAGGGGCAGTCAAATGAAAGAAAATTTGTAGGACTCTTTATTGATATATACCTTCATAAAGAAGGTACAACCATAGACAAAAACATCTTACTACAACATTACACAAATAAAAAAGCAACAAAGTTACATAAATAAATACACATCATCATTACATATATAGATCAAGTATTTCAAAACCATAAGTTAGGTTTGATCTTAATCCCGAGTCATTGCTCACAGCATGGGATCGCTCTTTTTTTGCATGGTAGACGTATACTATAAGCACTCTAAACAAAACTAATGTATAGAAATACATCATGCAAAAGCCTGTTCCCTTTGTTGAAAACGTCTATTAACATAAGGCATGACTATCAAAGTCCTATGCACCTAATATGTAACACGATTCTCTAACATTATTACCATCGTTATTTTTATGTCACGCAAAATATTAGAATATATTGGTTCACTGTTTCAAATCAGGTGAGCCGTTACAATGCTTTGGGAATGCCAATGTTCAGGAGGAAGAGTGCTCTCTGCTGGCCTTTGATGAAAACCTTAGTTTGCTTACAATATTTCAACTTTACATTGCCACAAAGAACTCCGACTGATTACACTAAGGGCACATTCCCATAGATTTTAGAACGATCTATCCCCGTGGGGAGTCTCACTAGATTACTGTCAGATAATCCCGCTTAAATGTCGTTCTGCCTACTACAAGGTGTAAAGGGGTAATTAACTTCCATGCATTTGACCGTAATTTAGCGTGAACCCCCACGGAGTTAGGTTGATCTAGTAAGAACGATCTAAATCTCTGGGAATGCCCTCTTAGTGTATGTACTGATTGTCAATATAAAGATCCATTTAACTTTTTTTTTATTTTATTAAAAGTAAGCTAGCAGAAGAATTGCAGAATGATGGCATGCATGAAGAATTTTTGTCACATTTGATGCAATAAATTACATAATTCTGAAAAGCTTAATCACAACCAATTTTTAATCATATGCTATCATTTAAATGTGGACATTCAGAAAACGTAACTAGCATAGGGAACAGTCTGCATACATAATAAAGAGGCTGATCTGTATCATCTCTGAAATGTGATCCATCTTAAGTACTAGTACTAGTAAAACGGTGTGAAAGTATTAAAATTTCCAGAAAGTATATAAGAATGACATAATCTGTGCATCTTCAAACATTATTTGTTAAGTTGGGTTGATCTTCCATTTTTCTATAAACTGTAACAATTTTAAATGATTTTTGAGGCCCTACAACTTTCCATGTCGTTGTAAAATTTTTTTGTGATTGCAATTCGTAAAATCCATCATAGATATCATCACCACATGGGTGTTGGCACATAGCTTCCACAGGTTTAAAGCCACTTTGCTCATCTTTGTTGGTTTCTTTGAAGTTTAAATCATGAAAATACCCTGCCTCATAGAATAAATTTGTACTAAAACCTGTATTAAAGGGCTTCAGGTCATTTTCTACAGCCTGTGCATGTTTTGAGCAGTGATATGCATTGACTTTACCATCTTGCATATCAAAACAGTACAAATATTGTCTTGTAAATGGCCCAGAGGCAGAGACATATTCTAGGTTATTAAAATGTCCTCTTTCTCTATACAACAGCCATTTCTCTTTGGTGTCTGTGTCACTCTCCAACTTGCACCAGGGTAAGTATGAAGCTTCCCCATCACGGACAGAGCCAAGTAGAGCACCATTTGTTAGAGATCTCACTTCACGATTAAATTTCCAGCAGCCTTTGAAAAACTTCAGCATGGTCTCGGGATCAGTTTCCGTCATGACAACGTGATGAGTATCACCAACTCCAACTGGAAGTGGAACCCCTTACACCTGAAAAATATTTTCCCTCTTATCAACTAGGTTTCACTTCCAATGTGGTTTACACAGTCGCTGCTCATTTCTTCAACCACAGAGACATGTAGACATTACCAAATGTAATGCCTTTTTGTATAGTTGACAAACAATACTGTATTACATTTTACTTCCACACTTTTCTGGCATGCCTTACACTGGGAGCATGATAAGTCCCCGTTTTGTACAAAGTGATGTTTATCTCTACAGACTTCTTAAAATCTTCATTCTTGGAGGGGTTACAATGTACCTCACATTTCAGCCTAACATGCTAGGCATTTACTCTGCTATAGAAGTGTACTTGAATAAAGAGTTTGATATTTTCACCTAAACTTAACGAGAAAGAGTCCATTTCTCCAGTTAATTTTACAAATTACATGGATGATACAACAAAATGAGCATGTAGTCCGTGTAGTATCTGATAGCGATATATTGTAGCACTGTTAATTGGCTTGGAAATGAGTAAATGCTGAAAATAAGAGTCCTGCAAGTAACGCTAACACAGTTTTGTGTAACCTACTAAGTTCATCCCAAAGATCGAACCTGAGAGCAAGTTTTTTCATGATAAATCCAAGCAACACCTGCGGCCAGTGACCGAGCAGTTAGGCCGGCCATGTGATGTCAGAAATTAGGTCATTGTGGTCTCGCAGTTTTATCGAGTAAATGGATAAACAATTAAAAAATAAAGAATTCCAAAACTATTGTCACTCTAACCAACGTTAATCTCTATATTAGGAGCCATTCGTTTTATTTTTGCACATTCAACAATCAAGAAACATTCAGAAAGTAATAAAAAAAGACCCGCAGTAAATGAACTTTAATCCCGGAAGAAGTTTCGATTTCGTTTGGGACAGTGTCTTGTCCAGTACCTTGTGGAGTAAAGTAGTTAGAATAATCGTGCCCTAACTGCCAGGAGTATGTTTTAACATACCAACTGTAGCGCAACAGGTGCAAATAGGATTGCTAGAGTACGATATTACATATTCTTTTGAAGTATTGCTTAACTTTATTCGTCGATCTTGATTACCCTGAGAACACCATGAAGCTTGGCCGAGTGGTTGTCGTGGGCGCTGGTCCCAGTGGATGTTATGCTGCCACCAGACTTGCACAGAGTCAATTGTTTGAGGCAGTACACGTGTACGAGAAACAGGAGACTGTTAACCCAACCACAGCTATTGGGAGAAACATCAATATTACTCTGTGTAAAAGAGGTGCTAAAAAGTTTTTTTATTCTCCTTTAATATATTACTACACTGCTACTATTAGATGGTGTGTCATGTGTCACTTTAGTTCAGATTGCACTCCCATTCCAATTGCATATGACCAGATATACAATTTATTCACAGTAACCGTGTATGTCCATACTACTGTACATGTGTACCACATGTTAGTGTATACGCATGTACCGCAAGTACTTCAGGTGCCAGGGAAATGCATGCATTTCTGAAATTTTTTGAAAGATTCGTTTTTAAGATCTTAAATTTTTTCAATGACAAAACTTTAGAGTTTTTCTCTTTATACCAGTTTTATATAAAATTGTCCTTGTCTTCTGATTAATATTTCCTGAGGGATGCCAAGTGCATCTCCTTCTTCTGCCAGTGCTGGACTCTTTTTTCTGGCTCGCAGAGTCAAGCTACTATACATGGTGTTACATGCAAACCACCTATATTGGGTTATTTTGCTCTAGTACATGTGCTCCTGTGCTTATAGATGTATTCTTGTGCATGTACAGTGTATGTACTGTACCTGATGGTCAGTTGTAGATCACATAAGTGTAACAGTAACCCAACGGTACAAAAGGTTAAATGATCCAAAGCAATGTGTAATTAATTAGTTTTTTTTAATTGAATTAATTGTGAATCTGATCATGACTTTATTTTACAATAAGATGTAAATGAAATACTATTTAGAATTTGTGATCTCTTTGCTATGTGCACTCCTGAGTCAATTGTGATGTTGGATGAATACCAGTTTATCAGTACAAGTTTTTTTGTTCTTTACAGGAATTGATGCTTTGAAAATACTAGGTAACATGCCTTCTGCAGAACTCCCAGCAGCTAGTTTGAAACACTTCTCCATTCACACCAATCAAGGCACATTTCAACATGCATATGGAGGTGAAGGCCTTTTGTCAGTGAAAAGAAATGATTTGTACCAGTACCTAAAAATGAAAGCTGAAACAGCAGGTGCAATTTTTCATTTTGGTCATACTTTGGAGTCGGTATCCCCAGCAAAGGAAAATGGTAGCAGTCTCACTATTTTTTATGATAAAAATGGTCACACCATTTCAGAGCCTGCAGCATTGGTGATAGGGGCAGATGGTGTTCATTCATCAACCAGAAAATTTTTGTTTGAGAAAATTGTGTCAACAAAATATAGATCTTGTGATTCACTGCAAGTTGACAGCCAACAGCACCCAGGATCCTGCATTATCCAAGAACACCCTCTTGGATACAGAGAAATCACCATACCTGCTGATGTCCTGTCACGCTATAGTCATAGTCTGCCACAAGATACCTTTCACATATGGGGAAGCCAAGAGTTTGTTGTATTGGGTCTGCCATCACCTGATGGGACTATGACATTAGGAATATATATGAAGAAGGACCAGCTGCTTGTTAAATCCATGAAGGACATTGTGAAGGCCATGCAGTCCAACTTTTCAGATTTGAAGGAATTGCTGTCAGAAATCCCAGACTTACATGTATGTATGCTAGTGATTGTGTGGGGTTTACCCATTCAAATTACTTGACTGAATATAATATTTAAGTTAGTTAAAACTTGTTTTGATATTTATTCTGCACAGATTTTACATTTATTTTCAATTTTCAATATTTTATCGTAATGAGATGCATTTTTCTCTGAATGTAGTTTATTGACTCATTTTTTGTCAAATAAAACCACAAGATTTTTTAAAAGTTTTGAGTATCTTTATATTTATTTGACAGAGTTCAGGGCGGGTTGGAAGTTTGACTACAGTGTCATCAGCATTCTATAGTTTAGGAAACATTGCTCTTATTGGAGATTCTGCTCATGCCATGCTGCCATTCCTGGGTCAGGGACTGAACTCTGGTTTGGAAGATGTCTGCATTCTCCTGGATGCTCTGAAGAGAAGTCAAACACCACTTGGTATACATGTTGGTGGCTCTGTACATACTGCACCTGTACTTTCATTCTCTAGATTTATGTATCTTTTTCTTCTGTGGATTTTAAAGCTGGGGTAGCGCTAGCAATTTTTTTCACTTAGCCAAATCACCACTTTTTTGTCAATTTGTTATCCAAATGGTTATAATTTGACTAAAACAAGTCAAATCAAGCCTTTTTTGTTTAGCCAATTTATGTCAGTTTTAGCATTTGACTAAATTGGCGAGTGTTAGCACTACCCCAGTAAAGATTACCAGGTTAACACATGTATGTAATACTGGTGGTATTATATTGTATTTGGCAAGTTGTTTTATTCTGCTGTATTTGCATTTCTATTTTTATTTGTGATCAATTTTATTTTTGGTCTAGGTCTTTCTAGTGATACCTTGTTAAGAATACTTGAAGACTTCTCAACAAAGCGCAAGAAAGATGTGGATATCATATTAGCGGAGAGTCTGGCAGAATATGAAAAATGGCGTACTCTTAGTTCGGTTGACTTGAGCCATGGATTTCAATATCAAATCCAAATGAGTAGTTTCTTTGAAAAAATTAGCTCCAGCACAGTGAGTTATTCGGAGGCATGGAGAGTGACAAAAGAAGAATCTCCTCCTGTTAAAGGTAGGTAAAACAGTAATGTGTAATCCCATAAAAGTCATGATTGGTATTCTATTACACTGTTTGTTTGCCTGTGTGTGTTAGTTCTTTGTTTACTGTTGTTTTTCATCCATTCAACTATATTTATATTATTTATATACTAAGACTTTAAGTATATGCATGAATATATCCATTCACTTATGTATATGTTTGCTATTATTTTCTAATATTCATTGATGTGAATATTTAAAGGAAAATTAGAAACTATTTTGGATCCTGGCCTGTTTTCAATTAATAAAATGATCATTGGTTGTTATAGTCAATTATGTTCAATTTAAACTTTGATAGGGTGCCCTTAATGATTTTTTACATCTTTCCCCGTTGAGATTTTAAAGAACAAATTCATTGTTTTAGGGATTGGTGAATATGTTCACAAAGGAGAGACATTAGCAGTGTATGAGGCTGTAAAAACTGTGATTGCCATACGCTCCCCATGTGATGGTATGATCAGTGACATAAGTTTTGGACCTGCTGGTGAGCCTGTATACAAAGTCAAGACTATAGAGTCTGAAAAAGATCCAGGTGTGTCACGGCCAGTCTTCCAGTCATCTGTAAGGGTAGAACAAGATTTGTCCCCCAATTCTACAAGCGATAGGTAAAAGTATTGTTGCACCCTTTACATTATAGTACATTGTGTGTTTACATTGATGAATTAACAATTGCAATATACTGTAGTTACTGGTATATGAACGTTATTATACATGTAGTATAGTTTATGTACTACTAACAAGTATTTCATTTCTCTAAAAACAAGCAGTTTAAATTAAGGTCAATCCTTATATATATATATATATATATATATATATATATATATATATATATATATATATATAAACTTTCTGCCATCATGGTCAGTGAACATGTCCTGATTGATATTGGGATGACTGACTGCTAGTATATTATATCACCTAGTATTTTCTCATTATGTTCTGAAAGTGTAGATAGAATTCAGAGGAATGGCTGTCTGACTATGGTTTTTCTAGTTCATTTTGCCTTATTGTTATTCTTCTTTATTATCAGTCATTTGGTGGTGAGCAGCCAGGAAGACAAAGAGGTTTTATTTGATGAGAAATTATACTTTGAACACTTAAAGACCAGTTACATTGGGAAAAAATTAACATACATGAAAACTACTGGCTCTACAATGGATGATGCCAAATCTGGGGCACATAATGGTGAGAAGAATTAAGTTCTTTGTTTATGTATATGATCTTGTCTTAAAATTACCATTATTAGAAAAGCACCCAGACCTCCCCCAAGGCAATTCGTTTCTCATTATTATTATTTGTTTGTTTGTTTATTTATTTATTGATCACCAAAGTCAAATTGATATTAAGTTGTCCCATTTCTGAACTATCCTGAATTTTTTATCAAAATCTGGGTATTACATTTTGATTAAGACAAAATCAAAAACTTTTTAAAGTACAGGTTATACCAGTTTGTAACTTTTGAATCAAATGGTCTTTAAAAAAATTAAATGTACTTCTGTAGTAAATATACCCACATTTTTATTCAGCTCTCAGAAGCATCTACATGCATCTGTTTTTTGGATTTTAGGCTGTGCATCAGGCACTGCATATATGTCAGAAGCTATGACAGCTGGCAGAGGACGCCGAGGGCGAACCTGGAAATCACCACCTGTGGGGAATATTTATGTTACAGTTGTGCTGCGTGTTCCCATTGCTGTGAGTGAGCTAAGTAGTTGCCTTAATGATTCCATTCAATTTTGCAATAGTTTATAAACAGTTGCTACCTGCACTAGTGCACGGAAAAGTACATTTAACCCTGTATTTCCTTTGAAAGTTAGATCATCCAAATCCAGAGAAGAAATAAGTACTTGATTTTTTTTACTTCCTTTCAGCTCAAAAATGTATATGGATTAAGTCTTTGGGAGCATTCCCATAAACCCATCGAACTAGCTGGATAGATCCAACTCTGCAGGGATTCTCACTAATTTGCATTCATTGTAAGCACCTTAAATGTCTACTCAAGCAACAATAGTCAGTTACCCCCTAATTAATCAAGGGGGTGTGCCAGACAATTAAGCTGATTACACTGAAAGCACTTAAGAGAGAAGCCATGCAGAGTTAAATCAATCCAGCTACCGGTAGTATCATGGATTTATGGGAACACAATGTACATCTTTAATAGAGGATTGTTGTTAAATTATATTGGTAAATTAAAAACTTGGTGCTTTCAGGAAGGCTTGACTAAAATTCAGTTTGCTGCTGCAGTTGCTGTCCTGAGAGCTGCCCATTTAGAAGGAATACTGGACGCCAAAGTGAAATGGCCAAATGACGTCTGGGTGAAGGGCCATAAAATGGCTGGTACTCTGGTGGAGGCTGAAGGTGAAGCTTCCAGTGAAGAGAAACAAACACCTGGAGAAAAAAACCTTTCCACATTTTATTTAGGAATGGGAGTAAATGTGAATGCCGACATTCGCCGTGATGCTGACATGAGAACCCAAGCTACTAGTATGGCCAATGAAGTTGGAGATATTGTTTCCAGGGAAAAGGTTCTTGCCAATATTTTGGAAAATTTAGAGTCTTTGTTATCAATGGAATTTGCTGACATTTTGAAGGAGTTTAAGGAGTTTCACGTTGTAAAGAAATCAGCAGAAATGGTAATCTACCCAAAAGATGGCAAAGAGTATCCAGCAATTTATGATGACATTACAATGGATGGCAAGTTGCATGTACAAAGTAAGTTTTTTTATAGAAAACAGAATTTCAGAAAATGCAGGATAGGTTCAAAGGAAATATGAAACCATAATGGTAGGCACATGTACTTTAGAAAATGTTAGGATCTGTATGTTAAAGGGATAATAACTCTTCATACAATGTATGAGATTCAAAATTCCACAATTAAAAGTTTTAAAAGTTTGCCAATTGAAAAATCATTTCATACCTAGAATCCCTTGAATCTTCTTTCTTTTACTTTTCTGTTTAATGCCTGTGCATGTGCCCCGGATTACTGTCTTAATTTGTCAAAAGTAATGCCTCAGTAATATTTCAGTGTGATTATTACTTTCAGGATTGGATTCCAAAGAACCTGTCATAGTTAGTGACACAGCTACATCTGTGCGCCCAGAACCAAAGTCTGTCATATATGTCTATGATGGAGAAGGTTGTGCTAACCAAAGTGTCCAAATGCTTAACATCTGGTTGGAGACTATGGTAGACACAACAAAGTACAAAATTAAAAGGATTTCTTCAGAGGAAACAAAAACAGGCAAGATATATATATATATATATATATATATATATATATATATATATACCTGTACTGTTGGGACATTGCATATACTCATCTGCTGTTACATTTTGTGGACAGCAAAGAAGACTATGTAGTTCTGAATGGCCAGAATGATCACCAGATTATTTTGTTTAAGACATTATTTTCTCCAGCAATCATACTCAGTAGAGCCCTTTTGAAAAAAAAAAAAATCTGCAGCATTGTTATTCCGTGATTGTTAAAGCCCAGAGACGATGGAGACATGCATGTGAGAACAAAATAATTAATATGATTTTGAAGAACATATATTGATTAGATTTTCCTCTAGTCAACTTTTATTTTTTAGGCAAATGGAGAGAATCCTGTGCTCTGTTTGCTGTTGGAGGAGGCTACGATATGGGCTACATAAATGCCTTGCAGGAGGATGGCCTGCTGATGATAAAGGAGTATGTACACAGTGGTGGAGCATACCTAGGCATATGTGCCGGTGCCTACCTGGGCTGCTCAGATATTGAGTTTGACAAAGGCGGACCACTGGAAGTATGTGGCAGAAGGCAGCTAGAGTTCTTTCAAGGTATGATACATGTATATTGAGCTCATTATGCTCTGTGTAATCTTTGTTTTTAGCAATCCCTATTCTGGCCTTCAGAGGCCAGAATGGTCCACCTTCTTAAACTATTTCACCCACTTTAACACACACTGACCTTTTCTGGTCCTAATACCATAGGTGTCTTTATACCAGAAATGTGCCATCCATTGCATCCCAACTTCATAATAATCCCTTTGATGTCAGTTGAAAGCCCAAGAAGTCCACAAACGGGTATAACAGGCCCCCTTTGATAATGCTACAGTGTAATTCAAAATAACATACTGTAATCCCCTCCCCCCATCCCCTCATGTATTAATATGTGTTTATATAATGTAGATTTTTCACAAAGATGACACAAATTATCAAGAGTAAAGTCAACTGTATATTTTCAAAACACCAATTAAATTTTTTGTTAAAAATTGACTTGCTTGCGTGGACTTTCTCTCTCTGTGAAAAAGTATTTTGTTTTAATTGTCTCTTTTTGCTTTACTTTACACATTCATCAAAAAACTACTTTTTACCTGAATTTTAGGGAAGTGTATTGGTCCAGTGTATCAAGGATTCCAGTACAACAGTGAGGCAGGGGCACGTGCAGCTTGCATTAAACTGCAGGACGATGCCTCTTTTGGCATTCCTTTACGTGAAAAAATGTCAAAAACTTTGACAGCACAGGTCTACTTTAACGGAGGAGGAACATTTATCCCAGACAAGAAAAACCAAGAAAGTTGTGTTGTAGCCAGGTATGAAGATACCCAAAATGCTGAAGAATCTGCGGCCATTATTAGCTGCAGGGCTGGTGCAGGAGTGGCTGTTTTGAGTAGCGTCCATTTTGAGTATTTAGCGGAAGATTTGGATTCATCTGATGAGTACCTGAAGACAGTTGTTCCAAAGTTAAGAGAAACATTGCACAGAAGAGATTTTATTTGTAGTAGGATCCTCCAGATTTTGAGGTTGTAATATATACATACACATACCTGCCATTCAAATGGATTTTTGATATTCGTTTGCACAACTTTTAATTTTGGCTAAACTTTCTGAATTTTTTTGTGTTATATTTTTAGGTCATATGTAGGTAAGTGGGTGAAACTTATATGATTTTTTAATCTTTTAGACTGCATTCCCACAGATTTAGATCGCTCCATCTGGATCGACCTAACTCCTTGGGGGTTCATGCTAAATTGCTGTCAGCCGAGCATGCACGGAAGTTAATTACCCCCTTACAGCTTTTAGTAGGCGGGACAGACATTTAAGCTGGCTAAGCTGACAGCAATCTAGTGAGACTCCCCACAGGGATAGATCAATCTAAAATCTGTGGGAATGCAGTCTTAGACAATTTATAACGCATTTACTCATTTTTTGTCATGGTGGTAGTATTCTGGTCAACTTGATGTGTTTGTACAAAGTTGCAATTTGTTGAGGGTGCATACAATGCTATTAGAAGGCTAAGATAATGTCCTTTGGTGAAGTTTGTCATAACAAATTTAAACAGTATAGTTTGCTTACACCGCACGTGCAGATTGAAGTTGTATTTGTTTTTAAGTCTTTTTATAGCTGGAGTGCCATTTAGAAACAAGTCATTATTAAACAAAATTCACTTTTTGTTTCAGAATGGTTAACAGGCTTTTATAGATCGATATACTGGGGGATATGGGCAGTTTACTGTATAGGAATTTGAAATTTTAAAAGCAGAATTTTTTTAATAAATAAGGCTCTTTCTTTTAAAGTCATATGTAAACTGGTTCATACAATACATCTGTACTAGTATCTTTATCACTTCTTTTAAGAAGTTAAATGAAAATCTTTTGCTTTAGGTTATGGTATGGTACCTTTTCTTTACATGCAATCAAATATTTGAAAAATCCCTGAAATTATTATATGTTTACTTATATAATCTGCAAGCAATTATAGTGGTAAAATTTGCTCAGTATTAATCAGTGTCAGTGCAAACATTCTCCATAATACCATATGTTGCTATCTTGCTGCAGTATTTCAACAGTTTTATAGGCAACATCATGTATGTGTCTAAGAAACACATTTTTCTTGCAATAGCTGAAAGATATGCTATTTTTTTCTTCTTAATTATTGTCATAGAAGTAGAGATTGTATAACATAATACTGATTGTGATTGTCAAGTGCTGATTGAAACAGGAAAACAAATGGATAATGAATATTAAGTTATTCCAGATTAATAACAATCATTTTCAGCTTTAGGAGTTAAACACTGGTTTAGATGGAGTGTCTTACATTTTTTAATCGGATACTAACTTCCCAGTCAGTGGTAAAATACAACATTGTAATTGTATATATGACATCATAAAGGAAGTACATCACAAACTGTTCACTTTCATGTTAAAACAAATCTGCCAGGCACTAACGGCTGACTTCAGCTGAAAATGACCATCTATCTAGCTAGAGACATATCTGTGAATATCCGTAAAAATCTATCAGAGGGTACTGACGGCTAAGGTTAATTTTTGTTAGTTGCCATTGTTTTCAAAGCATCATCACCACTGTAATGTTCTGATTATCATAATGTAAATATATCATTATATGCCAGGTACAGGGTAGCATACTGAAGGACAGAAGTGTTGGTATGTGTGAAAAAATACATTGTGAATAGCTTGTAACAAGGCAGAACCCTGTTTTGTCTCAGAACAAAACAGTGGTATAAGCGAGATTAAGAGAGATTAACACCTCCCATAATATTATTTGCATTCATTAACATATACTATAACAAAAGTAAACTGAAGTAATTTTGGATAGATACCATTTTCAAGAGTCTGGGAAGGAATATGATGGTGAAATTAGAAAAGCACTTAAATCGTGCAGACCTCTGCCAAGACGAATATTCAAGTAATAATTAACCATAATGAATTAATGGATCATTCAAATCTCAACACGTTTCCTCAAAAACCACCCATTACTTTCTGCATTAGGTTGCTTGCCAACAGACAACAAATAAAATTGCTCACCGAGGGAGGAATTGCAAATCATAACAGTATCACATCTGTGGATGCCAGTAAGGTGTAAAATGGATATGGTGCACGCGTTTTTTATGTTTGTGGACTACTGAATTACGCACTCCACAAAGGCTCCTACGGCCTACTCTATCTACAGAATTTTAAAATAATGTCAATGGGATTTTCCCGTGTAAGTTTAAAAACTTAAAATTTGATACATAGATAGAAGATAAAAACATCCTATTAAAATCAATAGGTTTCACCCTAGACCAATTATCAACCTGCTTAGTATCACTTCACATAATTTGATGCAAGAAATTGCACCATAAATAAAAAAATCTAAAAGTTATTATTTGGGATTTTCCATTTAAATTTCGGAACTTTGGAATTGTTTTTTATGAACAAAAGTCATGATCGTTGGGATGAAACTTGGCAAATTAGAATTAAGAAGCCATGCCGTAGTATCGATGTCCGTTCCAACAAGTTGTCGACTTTACACCATAAGGCACATTTAATAAGATGACCCCAATACTAAAACTTAGTAAAAGAACACTAACATTACCACTGACACAAAAAAAAGAACACTGAAGTAATACAAATAATAAGTGGTCAGTACTCTACTTTTTTGTGCGTGTGGATGCTGGAATGTCTCCAACAACACTAAGAAGAAACTGGAAGCTACGGAAATGTGGTACTTAAGAAGATAATTCAGAATATCCTGGGTAGAAAGAAAGAACAATGATTGAAGAAGTGTTATAGTTTGCAGGAGTACAACGCTCATTGATGAAAACAATCAGAAAAAGACGAATGAAATCTCTGGAACATACCATAGGAAAGGACGGAATAGAAAACTTGTACTCTGTGGGAAAATTGACGGAAGGAGTAGAGGAATACAACAAACATCATACTATTACATTGACAGCCTTAATGCCTTTGCAACAAATCAACGACTGTAAGTGTCTGTATATATTCTGATTGGTCTGTCTATCCGTGTCGTCGCTGTCGCCGTCACTGTCCGGCACATGACGTCTGCCCCATAACTTCCAAACTGTATTTTTGTTTTACGTTAAGCTTACCGAGTTTCTTCCTTTGGTAAAGAGGCAGGGTGCTTCCGAAAATTGGCATGATTGGTTTACATTTACGATAATTATTGTTTTTTTTTAAATTGGAGGCTAGGACACGATATATCGGTTGAGGGTACATGTAGTGATTACAGTATAAAATGAGGAGGAAATGCCAAAGACTAAACCAAGTCGGGTCTTTGTGTGAGTACTTCGCATAATATATGTTACTGTTGTCATGGGACGAAACTTGTTCAAAAAGAAACCGAGGTACCGATCATTTAAACCGCAACTAGTGTTTGTAATATTTGCTTTTATAATGAGACCTCTTTAGCACCACATGACCCGAACCCCCTAGCTACATGTACGTGTCTGCTTATCCATAATTCTTTCTATATTTTTTGTCTTCTTTCAAGTTTTGGTACACGTAGCGACGTGAACATCAAAACAATAGCATTTTGGGTTCTTAACTCTAAATGACTTTGCGAAGCGGGAAGCACGTGGCCGGTAAAAGTTGTGAAAGAAGCTCTAAAATGTCTAAAGGCAAAATATAGTGTATTTGCAAGTTTAAGAATAGTCTGAAGTGTGGCTTGAGCACTATAGGCCATAGCTGTCTTTGAAAAATTTGGGAACTTTGTTAGATGTAGGATGTACCGGTATCATCGCTCGTAGAGATAAAGGCGACATTAAGAAAAATGCAGCCTTGGAAAATCAACAGGAAAAGCGTCAACGATACGAAAGGAGCTCAAGGAAAAATGTGTGTGTGTATGTGTGTGTGTGTGTGTGTGTGTGTGTCTGTGTGTGTGTGTGTGTGTGTGTGTGTGGAGGACGTAGGGCGTGCGAGGGAATCTCCCTTTCTGATAGTTGTCAATATTGACAGGTATGCCACTGAACATAACTGTATCACTGCCCCCCCCCCCCCCAGGTTTATCACTCAAACAATTACTTTTATTTATTTATTTATTTATTTATTTATTTTTATTTCCTTGCGCCATCATGTCCACTACAATTTTCTTTAGAATGGGTTCAAATTCAAGCTGTTACTGATCAGTATACCTACACCACTGTTATTGTATTTACAAGAAACTGGAAATTAACGATAGGCCTACGTACATTTTCTGTTTGGTTTTAGTTTTGTAACAAGCACACATAGTCAACAACACACACGCTATTCTTACCTTCACGCATACATAACAGGAAGTCATTTTTGAAACATAAGCATCTAAATATAGCATGTGGACTTTTGCGTGTTATTTGTTACATCAGCAGAGCGATTCGTACAGCAAAAATATAAAGCAGACAAATAAAGAATAAAAAACATAATGCTGTCTGATACTGACCTCCTCTAATTATTCGTAAAGTTACTTAAATTATTTAAATACCATTGCTTTTAACAAACACTTATTGCCAAAGCAAATAACTTACCAACCACCTACCCTCTACCAGGGCGACAGATTGATTTTTCACAGATATTCACAGATATGTCTCTAGATAAATAGACAGTCATTTTGGTCTGATGTCGCCTCAGCAAAAAATGTCCACAATAATAACTGCGGCCCTGGTAGAGGGTACCAAACACCCATGCTAAGATAAAATAAAAACTTGCCTTTATATGAAATAATAGATATACAGGGGGGTGACAAAAGTATTGCACCATTTTTCTTTAAGGGGAAAATCAGCTGGATATGTTAGTTTTTTTTTTGTTTTTTTCAATTGTTATTTTATTGAAAACTGATTGCGTCAAGTGAGTATCTTTATTTTAGGTTTACAGTGCATTGCCCTGTCCCCATAACACTATTTCTAGGTGAGGAGGAAGTCAGATGGGAAATGATTGAAAATGATGGCTGGGAGAGCCAGTATCAGATGCCATAACGGTATATTTATCTATTAAAACAATAATGTATATGTATCTATTAAAACAATAATGTAGCTGGCACTGATCTGTGCGGTTTTTAATTTTATCATCAAATAGAAGAACGTTTTTTTTTCTCAGTTTATGCAAATAGCCAAACTCCATACCTTGTGAACGCATTAAAAGGTGAGATACATGTAGCTATGAACTTGATCAACTCAAGCTGCTGACAGCTTATTGTCTCAGTTTTGGGCAATAAGTTACGTAATGTCGGAAATGTGAAATTT